TCCTAGCATGAACACTATGAACTTATCAGGTGAACCAACTAGCTAAAGACCAAGATCATATCTGAATATTTGCAATAAAGATTCTGTCCAGGAAATTCACATTTAAAAAATAAAACAAAAAACTGTTGACTAAATAGTTCATTAACCAGCCCAGTATATTAAGTCCATTATCTTCATCAAAGATTTATTAAATATTTACTAAGATATAATTATGCACCAGGCATTCATTATATTCTGGGTATTGGGGATACCGAGACAAAACAGTCCCTGTTTTCAGGAGAAATAAACAGGCTCAAGATGCTCTGAGTTAAAAAAAAAAAAAAAGAAAGAAAAAGACGACGACGAAAAAGAAAACAGAAAAAAGAAAGCCTCTGCAGAGGGATAGAGGAGCAATTTGATTACAACTGCTACTGAAGGCTTGACAGATATGGCTCATCTGACCAACCAGGGAAGGGGGAAGAGGGGAGAAGGGTCCTGTTCTCCCTCACCAAATAAGGGCATCCAACTCAAACATAAGTGCCCCAAGGGGGCAAACATGAAAGGAAGATAAACATCCTGTGGTCAACCTGGCTGACTTAAGTGAAAAATTCAGAAAAGAAAGCATTTGAAACATGGTTGGAAAGGCTAATAGGAAGTATTTTATTATCAAGTATGTTAATATTTTACATAATTCACATATTTTTAATAAGATAGAAGAAAATTCACATTTTTGTTGGCCATTTTCTCCTAAAACAAAGTCACAGAAAACAATGCTACCCCTCCCTCCCAATGACAGTAAAATATTTAAGTTAAAATTGTTTTTCAAGGAAAGATGATATATTGGTAGGTGAGCTACTCTAATTAATGGAGAATGAAGCAAAAGCTCATAAAGAAACCATCCTTAATCTTAGTTTCCAAAGCACCAAGCCAAGAACAAAAAAGCTAAAGGGGCACAAATATAGCATCACAGAACAACAGAGCAGGGAGGCAATTTAGAAAATAAGCAATTTAAGTGAGTAAGGGATTTTCCTAAGGTCATATGGAGCTGGGGCCAGCACACCACATTCCAGTTCAGGCTTATTCCTCTAAAAGCATAAGAAGCATAAGAAGTTGCTGTTTCCAAATGTAATCTTACATATTTACAGAAATTATATTTCTCAAAGAAAGGCTTTCTCCTAACTATATCCCATTCCCTAAAAGTTCTCTGTGAGTTAAGAGATTCCCCAGATTGCCTGACTTCCACTCAAGGTTCTTCATTGCCATTTAAGTGCTAAATTTATTCTCTATTTCCTTTTATTAATAATGTTTCCTTTATGTATCTGTATAATAGAGCTAATAAGACTACATATTCAATAGGTTTTTTTATGAAGATTAACTGTGTTCATGCATGTCAAGTGCTTAAGACAGAAAGGATTCTTTAAATCTGAGCTATTATCCCCACCATGCAGGTTGTGTCCTTAAAAAAAAACTGATCTGATCAGATTTTGTGCAACACTGAAGACTGAGTTTCCTTAAACTTTAATAAAATCTCTATCTTCAGATCAAAATTAGGAATATATTATTACTGTTTAGAAGACTTCTTCAATAATTCATTCCTGTGCAATCTATATACTCAGAAATCCCCAAAGCCTTAGATATTGCCACTATTAATACAGTCTATAACCAAGTTAATATGAGATATAAAATCTCATTCTCAGCTTCAAGATCAGCAAAACTTCTTGCCTTCCCTATTTTAACACTGGCAGCAGAAAACATAGTGCAACTTTGAAAATCAGCTCTAACTATGGTTCAACTTTACCTACAGCAGCCAAAAGCTACCAGGAGATGAGATATATCTAAAGGTCATATGATTAAAATCCATACTCCCTCCACAATTTCACCTCAGACAATTGCTCCAACTATCTCTCTCCTTACGCCTAACCTGTCCTTCCTCTGGCCTCAAAGCACCCCATTTACCATCTCAAGTTAAACAGATTGCTTTGTTCCCCAAGCACAGTTCCAGCTTTCCTACCTACAAATGTTTGCTCAATGCTCTTTCCTCCAGCTGAAATGCCTACTGCTCCTCCCTAATTATCATTTAAGGTCCATTTCTCCCCCTCATCGAAAGCAGTTCTCTCTCTCTCTCCTCTAATTTTCAATGACGTCTGATCTGAGCTTATCTCACACTGCCTGGTAATACAACTATCTGTATATGTCATCTTCCTTACTAGACTGAGGACATGATCAGCAATTTCAGTTTTAGATTTCTCAATAATCTCAACATGGTAACTTGTTTATATAATAGACACTCAATATGCAATTGCTAATGAGTATATTAATTTCCACTAGACTAATAAAGTCTTGTTTGGTAGAAATCAGGCTTTAAAAACCTAAAGAAACTAATAATTAATGTATCCTTTGTAAATAAATTGATATCAATTGTTAAACCACATAAATCAAACATGCCCCCAAGAATCTTATCAAACTTTTCCTCTTCACGCTGACCATCGTCAGATGATAAGATAGTTTGTGTTTAAGTTCATTCATAAATTTGGAACTCAAAAACACTTCACTTGCATCCAAGCCCACAAAAGCCATGAGATCAGTGTACCTGATTTTATTTACTCAGTGAGCCAAACCACCATGTATAACAACATTCAGAAGTACAACTTCAGGTGCCAAAGCTCATCTAGCCCCCTGCACAAAAGGCAACAGGATTGTAGATTCCTATCTTCCTTCCCTTTCAATAACTCTGCCACAAATTACCAGGAAAAAGGAAAGCAGTTCCTCCAGTTCCATAACACTGGCATCTAAAGCTAGGAAAGCCGCTAATAAATGGGAGGAAAGGGGATCCTAAAATCAGGATCTGGGGAGGAGAGACCAGAGTCTATCAAGATAACTCCTGTCCTTACAAGACATTTAAGGGCTCTCTCTCCAACCTCATCTCCCTCTTACTCTCATTAACACTTTACATTCCACCATACAGCACTACTTAAAGTTTTCCCCAAACACATCAAAATGCTTTCTTGCCTCTGTGTCCCTAAATGTGCTAATCTATTTAGGAGGAATCCCTTTGTCCATCTGGCAAATCACTGTTCATTCTTAAAATTCTTGTTACCTCCTCTACAAAGCTGTCATTAACTCCTTCAAAATTACTCCAGCCCCTACTTTGATACTTTATGTAAATAATATTACGCATTTATCTCAATTATTACAATTATTTGTTTACACATTTTCAACATCAGATCTCATGTTCCTTTTAGAGTAACGATTAAGTGCCATTCATTTTTACATTACTTTCTAGGCCTTGATCACTTTTCCTCAGCACCCCATTTAATGCTTCTAACCATGGGTTTTGCCAGCACTGTTCAATTCAACAGAACTCAATCTCAGAACTTTCACCCCATATTCTTGCTCATAGAACAAGTAAAAGATTTTAATACAGTTTCCTAGATAATTTTAGTAAAATAACATGAAATTTTAAAAAAAGATTTGCTCTTATAATTCTCTTTTTTCCACTCAGGTCTTCTCCAAGAAATATAAAGTCACACAAAATAAACTCTTGAGTCTGTAGGTACACAAATGAATTAAGATTTATCTACATTACACATTCAAAAAAAATTAATTTGGATTTCCATAAGCAATTCACCACAGAGCCCTAAGACTAGGACAAAAAGGGCATAGGTGAAGTAGGTAGTAGAAAGAAGCCAATCAAGGTCAACATCCAGTTCATTATAGCCTATTAAAGACATATACTTCATTTCTATCTTACTTTACAAGTTTTGCCAATATCTTATAACAAAAAACACAAGCATTTAGCAAATAAGGCCTATAGCATTCTGCTATCAGGTGTGAACTATCACAGGTAACACAAAGTCTAAAATCAAAGACTGCCTGGAATTCACTTACAACAACCATACATTAGCAAATAATACTCATAATAACAGGGGAAAAAAGAAAACAAAAACAGAAGAAACATTTGAAATCAAATATACCAATATTAAGTAGCTCCTGGAATAAATAATATTTTAAGTGTGTCAAACTACCCTAATTTTATATAATCTAACTCTGGAAATTTACTTCTTAACTTCCATAATTCCTCACATTTTCAACCAATAAAGAATAAAAATTTACTTCATCATGGAAACAGAAAGAAGTTTAAACAAACAACTACTACTTATAGCAAAGGCATTAGCCCTACAGTAATCTTTCTCTTCCTTTATGGAAAAAATCCTAAAACGTTCTTTAATAACACATTAGAAACCCCTCATGGAAATTTCATCCCTTCTTCATTCTTTCAGCATCTTTTTATTACATACTTGCTATATGCTCTATTTAGCACAGTAAAGAGGACACACAAGGGTTTTCTGTAAACACTTATAATTATAGAAGCTATACGTACCCCAATGTCCACTGCAGCACTACTTACAATAGCCAGGACAAGGAAACAACCTAAATGTCCAACAACAGATGAATGGATAAAGAAGATGTGGTACATATATACAATGGAATATTACTCAGCCATAAAAAGAAGTGAAACTGGGTCATTTGTAGAGATGTAGATGGACCTAGAGTCTGTCATACAGAGTGAAGTAAGCCAGAAGGAGAAAAACAAATATCGTATATTAACGTATATATGTGGAATCTAGAAAAATGGTACAGATGAACCTATTTGTAGGGCAGGAATAGAGATGCAGACATAGAGAACAGACATGTGGACACAGGGTGGGGAGTGGAGGGTGGGATGAATTGGGAGATTAGGTTTGACATAAATACATTACCAAGTGTAAAATAGATAGCTAGTGGGAACCTGCTGTAGAGCACAGCGAGCTCAGCTCCATGCTCTGTTAACGACCTAGATGGGTGGGATGGTGGGGTGGGAGGGAGGTCCAAGAGGGGGGATATAGGTATACATATAGCTGATTCACTTCATTGTACAGCAAAAACTAATACAACATTGTAGAGCAATTTTACTCCAATAAAAAAAAGAAGTAGTACAAGTCATTATGGAGAAGTACAAGATACTATGGAAACATACACACCATTCTGTATAGACAAAAATTACTGCTTATGGACACTCATGCAACTATGTATTATCTCTTCACACATTTAAACTATCCCAAGAACCTAAAAAAAAAAAAAAAAGGTTGTTGGATTAGATTAATTAGTCCATTCAGTTGAAAAATGTTTGACTTGAATTTTCCATAGTCAATGAACTATTACCAGTACTGGAGAATGCCATCAAGGAAAATTTTTTCTCCCTCACTAATCTCTATTTCCACATTACACAGAGGTAGCAGAGTTGTACCCCATGTAAACCTCAAAAGAAGGGGAAAAACTCAAATATCCTTCATTTTCCTTAACGTCATCTTGTGTCCACACAGCATATATAAAAATTAACTCAAAGCTGATCAAACCTAGAAGAGCTAAAACTCTTAGGAGTAGGTAAGGTGTAAATCTGCGTAACCTTGGATTAGCCAATGGTTTCTTAAGATATTATACCAAAAGCACAAATATTCAAAGAAAATATAGACAAACTGAACTTCAAAATTAAAAACTTTTGTGCATCAAAGGACACTATCATTTATTTAAAAAATTATGAATCACTATGTTGTATACGTGGAACTAATATAATATTGTAAATCAACTATACTTTGCTTTTTAAAAGGGCAGGGGGAACACTATCAAAAAAGTGGAAAGACAAGACACAGGATGGGAAAAATATTTTCAAGTCATATAAGGATCTAGTATCCAGAATATGTAAAGAACTCTTCTAGCATTCCAAATAATAAAGAACCAAATTTAAAATGGGCAAAGGATCTGAATAGACATTTTTTCAAAGATATACAAAGGGTCAATAAGCTCAACATCATTAACAAGATGTTTAACATCATTAGTCATTAGGGAAATGCAAACCAAAATCATGATATATACTATATATATATATATATTTAACTAGGATGACTACGATGAAAAAAAATTTTTAAATACCCTGAAAATAACAAGTGTTAGCAAAAATACGGAGAAACTGAAACCTTTATACATTGTTGTTGGGAATGTAAAATGGTGCAGCTGCTGTGGAAAACAGTCTAGTAATTCCTCAAAAAGTTAACATATAACCACCATATGACCCAGAAATTCTTCTCCTTTGTACATACCCAAGAGAACTGAAAACACATGTTAACACAAACACTTCTATACAGATGTTCATAGCAATACTATTCTTCCTGGATTTAAAGGGATAAACAACCCAAGTGTCCATCAATGGATGAATGAGCAAAATGTGGTATATCCATACAAGGGAATATTATTAGGTTATAAAAAGAATGAAGTGTTGTTACATGCTACAACATAAATAAACCTTGAAAACATTATGCTAAGTGAAAGAAGCCAGACATGAAAGGCCATGTATTGTATGATTCTACTCATATGAAATGTCCAGAATAGGAAAATCCATAGACAGAAAGTAGATTACTGGTTGCCAGGGAATGAGGGTGGAGAGATGGGGGGAGTGATTGCTAACAGATAGGTGGTTTCTTTTGGGGGTGGGGGGAAACGTTCTGTTATTAGATACTGGAGATGGTTGCACACAACACTGTGAATATATTTAGTTATGTGAACTACATCTCAATTCAAAAATTGCATTAAAAAAATCACTTTGCCTCACAATCCCCCTTTTCACATTAGCTTTGGATTAAATGACAATATCTCAAATCAGTCAATACCATGCATGATAATAAATTTCTGCAAACAACTGTTTCTAATACACCAAAAAGGTCTGCAAATCCTCTCTGGTGTGAATACCACCCTATTTACTTTTTGGTATATACTTGAATTACGATAAGATTTTTGCATATTAGATGTATTTAAAATGTTACATTTGTATTTCTCAAGCTTCCACAGGATAACTAACTCTATTACCAGCACATAAAAATTTTAACATACATACACACACACACACCATGACCCTTGTTCTCAGAGCTTATAAATCACATGAGGAGATCTATAATCAGCAGAAACATGTACATTAAAATACAGCAACTGAGTATACCCTATGAAGTCACTTGTAAAGTATACCTGCAATCTTTAGTGAGGGAAGAAGTTTGCAAAGCATATCTAGCTTCCTCAACCACTACTTGAAAGAAATGTCCCTTGAGTAAAATCAGGGCCCCTAGCAAGCTTTCAAGTACTAAGTTTATGACTATAAATACCAGCACCGTTTCAGAAATCACTGCTGGAATTCCAAGCATTCAGAGAAGACTTGCAGCAACTCCTACCAGCCCCTGGAATGAACTGATGATCTGGATTTAGTGGTCTTACTATCATGGCCATCACTACTTAGCACTCCAACCTTTGCTTACCCTACAAGGCTTCGTTCTAAAACGGTCATTTGTTTTCTTTTGCATCTTGACGTTACCTACTACGTGTACTTTAGGCCATCACTACTACTACTCCAACCTTTGCTTCATACCTCACAAGGCTTAATTCTAAAAGTCATTTCTTTTCTTTTGCATTTTGACATTATCTATTAAGTGTACTTTATCCTAAAGTGAGGCTGCCACACAGTTATATACTGGAGGCACCCTGCACATCATAGATTATAATGTGATCAGCACCTCCTAGAGCTGTACAAGGAAGCAGCTCTGATAAACATTTCAAATCTAATTCTGGTACCCTGTTTAATTCTTAAAATTAATTTCTACTTTTAAGACCATATCCTCAAAAACCATGCATTTGAATATAGTTTTCAAACTGAGTAGCTGTAACCAAGAAACTTTTTTTCTTTGCTATAACAATACTTTGGAAAAACCACATAATACCTAAACAAAACTAAACCTCAATGCCTCATAGGTGCCATAGCAATTTGTTATAATCTTTTTTATCAATGCTACTGAATGACTTCATATATAATTTTGTAATCAGGTGATTACCATTCACTGCAACTAAGATAATGCCCACAAAAACATTATTAAAATATCTACTGGAATAGATCTCTACGGTGTGTCCACCATACATTGTTCATGGAATAGCCTGAGCTGTGACGGGAGATTACGTGTAATCATTCAGTACTTACTGGGCACCCAAAGGGCCACTGATTAGTTACTTTGAGAAGAGACATAGAACAGTACAAAAAAGAACAGTTCCTATTCACAGAGAAAACACACATGAACCCAATATATACATAAAAGCATAATACTGAGTACAGTTTAATAAAAAAATATATATATATATGTAAACTTTAAATGGTGATAATAATGTTGGACTGACAGAACCAGGGGGAGTTATTCAGTAACGTCTTTAGGAAAGTGGTTACTTTAAAGGTGAATGTTAACAAAAGCAAGTTAGTTTAAAGAAGGTTTAAAAGGAAGGATGCATCTGTACTGACAGAGGTGAAGATATTTTGTGTCCAAGGAATGGGATTTGCAAAGGCTGGCTAATAGTTTGAGGGTCAAGAATTTATTTTGGTTCAACTGGTACCTAACCTGCTTGACTGAAAAGAAATAGCTTAGATATATTTAAAACAAAACAAGTGAGGAAAAATAGATCAAGAGTCTCAATTTCGTGCCCCGGTCCGGGAAGATCCCACGTGCCGCAGAGCGGCCGGGCCCGTGAGCCATGGCCGCTGAGCCTGTGTGTCCGGAGCCTGTGCTCCGCAACGGGAGAGGACACATGGTGAGAGGCCCGCGTACTGCAAAAAAAAAAAAAAAAAAAAAAGAGTCTCAGTTAATGATGGACTCTATCAAGGCCTTTTAGGAAAACTTACATTATTACTGTTAGAGACTCTTTTTGCCCCCCAGAAGTCTCCTTTCCAAGTCACACAGCACATTCTTTCCAATCTACTCAACCGCATGACATAATCAAAAGATCACGTCACATCTCTTGCTCAGTCCTACAATGATTGGACCACTGTTACCCATCAAATCAAATCAAAATTACTCTGAGAATTTAAAGGACCACTTACATCTAGTTTCTCTCTAAGTATTCTTTTCTCCCCTCTTCTAAACACCATTCCTTAGAGTTGCATTTTTTAGTCTCAGAACCTTTACAATCTTAAAAACTGAAGACCCCAAAGAGCTTTTGCTTATGTGGTTTTTCTCTATTGGTATTTACTGTGTTAGAAATTAAAACTGAGAAATTTTTAAATATTAATTCATTTTAAAATAATAAAATTCATCATATGTTAGCATTATTCATAAAAAATAACTGTATTTTCCAAAACCAAAATTTAGAACAGTGGCATTGTTTCACATTTTTTTCCAAAACTCTTTACTATCTGGCTTAATAGAAAACAGATTTTCATATCTGCTACTACATTCAATTTGTTGCAGTACCACATAGCCTCTGGAAAACTCCACTGTACAATAGTGGAAGAATGAAAATGGAAAAGGAAAATAATGTCTCAGCATATGAATATAATTTCGATTTCACAAATACGCTGAAGGGGTCTTGGGGACTCCCAGGAATCCCTGGACCACACTTTAAGAAACAGCCATGAATAGATAAACATGGTCTATTCATTCTCTAGAATAGAAAATCATTACATAAAAAGTTACACTAAAGTGAAAGCCAGACCTGATGCTAGACTACCTGGGTTCAAATCCCAGTTCTCTTCTTCCTGGCAATGTGACCTTGGGCAAATTACTAAACTCAGTGCCTTAGTTTCCTCTTCAGTAAAATGGTGATAATAATAAAATCTCTTGGACTTCGCTGGTGGCACAGTGGTTAAGAATCTGCCTGCCAATGTAGGGGACACAGGTTCGAGACCTGGTCCAGGAAGATTCCACATGCTGCGGAGCAACTACTACCGAGCCTGTGCTCTAGAGCTCGTGAGCCGCAGCCCGCACACCTAGAGCCCATGCTCTGCAACAAGAGAAGCCACTGCAATGAGAAGCCCACGTACTGCAACAGAGAGTAGCCCCCACTCGCTGCAACTAGAGAAAGTCTGCGCGCAGCAACGAAGATCCAACGCAGCCAAAAATAAATAACTTTAAAAATAATAATAATAAAATCTCTCACAAAGTTGTTGAAAGGAATAAACAAGTTTATAAATGCAAAGTGTTCAGTAATGTGAGTGCCCAGCACAAAGTAAGCATAAACATTTGTTAAATAAATATAAACACAACCTAGGCATAAACACAAAAAACATGTCTAGCTGTGAGTATTGCCACTATATTCTAATGTAACTTGAGAAATCCTTAATATTCTGATAACCCGGCAAATTACAATTCTGAACATAATTTTTAATACAAAGGTTTAAGTTCATTAAAATTCCCTTTTAAAGGAATATCATTAGTAAATTGTAACTGCCTACAAACAATTCTCCATGAAAAGAACCATATACACAGTGAATACACAAAATTCTGAAAGATCAAATCCAAAAATTTCAATTCTCTAGAGAAATATATAAAGCCATTTAACTGGGAACATACTGAGACAGAACACAAAGTAACGGAAATGCCACTTCAGCCACCAAAAGAACAGGAAAAGCA